CTACATCCTCCTGATTTGAAACCAATTTTTTCCAAGTCCCTTTAAAAAACAAAAACAAAGACTCTGACATTAATTGCAGATTCCTTTGTGAAGGCGAGAGTGGAAACGGTGGAATAATCTGTCTGTACGTGAAGTAATTTCCCTGATGGATTCCCGAGAGATTAATAACAGGCAGAGGAAAGCTACAGGAGATGTGCATCGGGGTCCCGGGGTCGGGCTCCGCAAGGATGTGTTGCCTGTCCATGTTAGTTAGAGTCACTTTGCCATCCTGGCGGGATCAGACCACATGCCGGCCTGGTAGTATAGAGACTAAAGCTGGCCGTACGTGAGCATTCAGGGCAATGAAGGACAAGAAATAAGGTGGATTTCATCGCCTGCAAGGAGATGGAATTGAACTCAGCCTTATCGAACGGGGCAAAATACAATCCCTTTCTATGAGATTGCCATCATTTTTTATACCGTTTCAATTTAAACACATCTTTCCTTCTCCATTGAAGCTGTCATTTCATAATTCAGTTTCGACTTCACGATTGACCTAACTCTGGTGGTCGATTGAACTCGTGAGTAGCTCGCTTAGTTTCTGGCGAATGCCGTTCATTTCATTTTAGATTTTCAGAGGGATTGAAAAAGGGTTAAAATTGAATGGAATTTTTCACATGTATCAGTTTTGCAAGTTAGGACATATAACGGGGATCAGCAAACAAGAGTTTTGAGATCTACCCATTGGTTACGGCCATGTGATTCATCGATCGCAAACCTGCCGTGGCATCAGCTCTTCCCAAACCACCACCTATCGATATTATTGTTATTATACGGGATTTATATAGCGCCAACAGTTTGCCCAGCGCTTTACAATATAATACAGCAAAAATACAGTTCAATACAAGAGGGTTAGGAGGGCCCTGCTCCTTGGAGCTTACAATCTAAGAGGAGGGATAAAATAGTAATGCACGTACATCATCAACTCATAAAAATAGCATGTCTCCATAAACATCAAAAGATAGTTTCAAACCAATAAGATGGCCGCCACGTTTCGGTGCGCGATGATGTCAAATGGCTCCACCCAACATGTTTCGTCATCAGGGGCGCTCAGGAGCTCAGTAGATTGCTTTTTTAAAAAATTCCTTTACAATATAATGGGGGACAATACAGCAAAAATACAGATCAATACACAAGGAGGGCCCTGCTCCTTGGAGCTTACAATCTAAGAGGGAGGGGCTAGCGGTACAAAAGGTAGTAACTGTGGGGGATGGACTGGTAGGAGGAGGAGTAGAAGATTCCATTATTAGCTGAGGGCAGGATAGACTTCCCTGAAGAGATAGGTTTTCAGAGATCGCCTAAAAGTGAACAGAGTAGGCGATAGTCTGATAAATTGGTGTAGAGAGTTCCAGAGGATGGGGTAAGCTCTGGTGAAGTCCTGGAGACGAGCATGGGAGGAGGTGACAAGGGAGCTAGAGAGCAGGAGGTCATGGGAGGAGCGGATGTTTTGAATTTTATCCATTGGGCAATGGGAAGCCAGTGGAGGGATTGGCAGAGAGGGATGGAGGACACTGAGTGGAGGCCAGTGGAGGGATTGGCAGAGAGGGGTGGAGGACACTGAGTGGAGGCCAGTGGAGGGATTGGCAGAGAGGGATGGCAGATACAGAACGGTTAGTAAGGTGGATGAGTCTGAGAATAATTCTCCTGCGCATGGATGTGGAGAGTCCTGCCCATCGACCTCTATAAATAACCAGAAAACAACCCGAGGAACCTATATGGCCTATCTGGCTTCCACTGGCCAGGGAAGGCTCCCACAGTGGGCTCCCAAACCCCCAGCTCCCAAGCCATAGATACTGCACAGCCGAGGGAGGTCCTAGACTTTTCTTGGACTCTGAAGTGTCATAGCTGAGGGGAGGCCTTGGAGGATTTCCTTTACTGTGCCAGGCACCACTGCATCCGGAGGCTGTGAGTACATTTTTAGGTGGGATGGGGAATTTGTACTAGGTGCTATTTTAGGTTGGGGGTCTACATGTTTGTACTGCAAGGAGGTATTTTTGTGACGTGAGATGTGTGTTACATACAACTGACCCCTCACTCTGCATGACTTACTCCTGACCTCTGAATTGTGCATTAATTATTCAAGACCTCTGAACTCTTTGTTAGAGCACAGACTATTTGTTCCTTTTAAGTTACATTGGGACTTTTAAGGCAACATCCACAAAATTGTAAAAAATTTTTGGAATCTTCTATTGTCCAATTTTAGTGAGCCTGTGCTAATTGTGGCCTCCATTTCCTGTTTTTAGCTGACAGGAGTGACACCCGGTGTGGTCTTATGCTGATGTAGCCCATCTGCTTCAAGATTCGAAGTGTTGTGTGTTCAGAGATGGTATTCTGCATACCTTGGTTGTAATGAGTGGCCATTTACAGAGAATGGTCCGCAAAAAAGAAAATATCCAGTGAGTGGCAGTTGTGTGGATGAAAATGCCTTGTTGATGTCGGAGGAGAATGGGTGGACTGGTTGCTGTGACATTCAGATGGTAGGGTCGTAAACACCATGAAAGCATGGATCCATCCTGCCTTGTATGAACGGTTCAGGCTGGTGGTGCAATGGTGTGGGGGAGATTTTCTTGGCACCAGCAAGGTGTACCTAATAAAGTGGCCGGTGAGTGTATATCACTTACCTTAGTACTCTGTGTGACTTACCACTGACCCCTGCACTCTGTGTTACTTATTATTGACCCCTGCACTCTGCATTACATATTACTGACCTCTGTACTCTGCGTGACTTACTCCTGACCCCCACACACAGACTAATGCACTCTGCATTACTCATTACTGATCCCTGAATATTGCATTACTTACTACTGACCTTTGCACTCTGTGTGAAAGACTACTGACCCCTGCACTCTGCATTACTTACTATTGACCACTGAGCTCTGCATTGTTTCCTGCTGACCCCTCTACTTTGCATTGCTAACTACTGACCCCTACACTCTGGGTTATATACTACTGACCCCTACACTCTGGGTTTATATACTGACCCCTACACTCTGGGTTATATACTACTATCCCCTGCACTCTGCATTACAGACTACTTACCCCTGACCTTTGCATTACTTACTACTGACCCCTGAATTCCACATTACTTATCACTGACCCCTGACGCCTGTGGTGCTTACTATTGACCCCGCACTCTGCGTTACATACTACTGACCTCTGCAAAACTCACTACTGATCCCTGAATTCTTCAACCATCTTTACATTGTAATGGGGCTTCACTAATGTGCTGCACCCTGTTGATCTTTGGTCTATTCCAAGCCTCTAAGGTAGATCTCCTCTTCCAGGTTGCCTGCCGTGACCTATAGAATGTTTATCTGGATTAGCCCTCAGGGGTTACTAACATCATATCTCTCAGCACTGTATAGATGTTTTTGAGTTTTGTCTGGATCATGCAGGATTCTGTAATGTGTAATGTGGATTTCAGTTCTGAGAGTTTTGTATGTCTTCTTCCCAGCTATCTCAGACGTTGGAGCCCTGGAAGTTGTATAGTACCGTGTCTTTGTTGCTGGGATTGGATGTCATCACATTGGGGATCTGGCAGATTGTGGATCCTCTGCAGAGGACTATTGAGGTAAGTGAACAGAGGGGGGAAATGCACCCAAAAAAAAAATCTAATTCAGGAATTGTTTTCTGAACTCCAATATAAATAATGACCTGGGTTTCCATGAAATTACCTGGAGGGTTCGTTCACACGGGCAGCCAGGGGGTGGTAAAATAAGATGTTTGAGCGGCTGTTTTACTGTCCCCTGATTGACCACCTAAACACAGAAACAGGGGCGGACTGACAACTCATGGGGCCCCCGGGCAATAGGGGATCATGGGACCCTGTGTCCATGCCCAAACTCAAAAAAGCCTATGAAAAAGGTACCAGGGGCATCTCATGGGGCCCCCTACTGACCCCGGGCCCTCGGGCAGTGCCCGAGTTTCCAAATGGTCAGTCCGCCCCTGCACAGAAATGAAGCTGCTCAGGGCTGTACCCATGCTTCAGGTGATTTTTTTTTTTTGCTATAAGTTGTATGAATAAAATACAGCAGAACTGTACAGAGGTTCTAGTGTTTAATAAAAGTCTGATGTGTGTTGTGGGCCCCAAGGGTCTTGTCTGCGACGCCAGGCTCTCTTCAGCTCTCAGACCTTGAACATAGCTGCCATATAGTATACTGTATATGCTAGGTATAGTAATATTGACAATAATATTTATAATAATTACAGGAATTTACTAAAGAAGAGCCTCGTGGAGACCTAGATGTCCTCATCCTCCCTCAGCTGGAACACTGTAGCTCTGTGAAGATGAACACTTGGCTTGGTGAGTTCCATCATTTCCTAATCTCTTCTCTTATAAATCTTTCTGGTATGTCCTCTATGTTCTGCATCTCTGTGTTATGATATACTTTAGATTGAAACTTGCCTCTTGATATCCCCAGTCACTGGCACATCATACCTTACATGTTCAACCTCCTCGCTGTTCCTTTTCTTTAGGTATTGTGTACGGTTCCAAGGGCCTTCTTCTTTTGCTCGGTATATTCCTTGCCTACGAGACAAAGAGTGTCTCCACGGAGAAGATCAATGACCACCGTGCAGTGGGGATGGCCATATACAATGTAGCAGTAAGTTTCAGAAATGGTGACCTCAGTACAACACAAAGCACCCACAGCAGCCAAAGTGCACTCTTAGAGACACACAACCTATTCCTAGATTAGTTGGAAATAGACCATCAGTATGTTTCGGGAGGAAACTCATACAAACGTGTGAAGAACTCACAAATTCAAGAAATTACCAGGAAAACAACACTGCAGGGGATAACAAACTGCCCAATATTTTCCAGCAGTGCAACCATTTAGGGCATAGTTTATATAATAGAGCCTAAAGAGTAATGTCATGTGTCATAAATGCTATCTGTGGATCTGTAGGTCACCAAAAAAATAAGTACTCAGAAATGGAATGGTTGAAATTTAATAACAATGTAGCCTTCCTGGTGGTATTCCCGAGTGTAGCTCGGGGTAAAGTTTCAGTACCACAAGCGGTAATCCTGAGCTACACTCGGGCTTTCCATGAGGCGCTGCTCCGCGATCTGTTCTTCTCTTACCTTGTCCTGCGCTCCTGCGATGTCCCTCCTGCAGTGTCCCCGGCAATGTCCTCCGGCCGATGCCGGCATCTGTCTTCTGGCTTCCATCCCCTGAGACATCGGGACGTACGGGGGACGGAACGGCGGGAAATTTGAAAATGACAGAAAAGTGACATTCACTAAATACACTAAAATCACATACTATTCCTGTATCAAACCATTTCACATACATTTTGTCCCGAGTGCTTTGTCCGGCGCCCTGCCTGCATTTTTTACTGTTCTTTCTGCCTTGAAACTGAGAAACGTCCATGGCGTCCAAAAAGCGTCCCTTTTAGGTCAAAAGCGGTTTTAGACCGGCTAGAGAACAGTGATAGTAAATCAGAACCACTTGCAGAATTGAGTGATAATGATTCGTGGGGGAAAATTCCTCATCAGACACTGAAAACGATTCTGCGACTTTGCTCAGCAATGTGTGAACTTGGCGCTATATTTCAAATTTCAGTGTTTTTGGTTTGATTACATTATTGAATTAAATTTATTATTATTATATTATTATTTTGTATGATTATTTATTCAATTATAATTTATGATTTCGTGTTTCAAATTTATCATACCCGGGATGTTTACTAGACTCTTGTTCGGACAGATTTCAGTGAGTTATTCCTAAAAATTACAGGCCTACAATAAAAAATAATACATATTTCCATGCAAAAAAAATGTACCGCTTTGAGCACAGAAATATGGACATAATCAGACCGCTAGGGAGGTTAAAGAGGATAAAGGCAATCCAGAGGTTGGAGTTCTGTGTCTTGGAACCAGACTGCTTTTTCCTCTGTTTTCTGCTGCCTTATATCTTGTTCAGACAAGCACAAGAGTTCAGAGCGTATAGGTCTTGACTACTTTCCAAACTTTGAGTCCTAAAGAATGGAGTCTCTGAGACCCATCAAAGCATTGTCCTGGTCCATGCTGTTACATTTGGACTACGCCATCTCTGAGTACTGCTTCTTTGGCACGCCAACACTTCAGCAGATCCTAGTTAAAAAGGACCCCACCTTGAAATAGTTCTTTTCTACGTGAGCAGTCTGAATCATGTCATTTGTATGTGGTGGGTGAGGACCATCTTAAATAAAATGTGTGTCTTTACGATTCAGATAGTCCCGAAGAAGGAGGTTTGTTGATTGCCCAATATGTGTTCGCTGTATATTTACTTGACTACCAATAGAAACTGAGCCTATAATCATCAATTCATATGACTGTAGTAGTGTGCTCCTCACCCACCACACACCAACTCCAGCAATGAAGGCTTTCTTCTGCTCTGATAACCTCCTTTTTTGAATACCTTTTTTTCTAGGTCTTGTGTCTAATAACTGCACCAGTCACCATGATCCTCAGTAGTCAACAGGGACGCCTCCTTTGCATTTGCATCTTTGGCCATCGTCTTTTCGGCCTACATCACCCTAGTTGTCCTATTCGTACCTAAGGTAAGGAACACCATGAGCTGGGATCCAATGGTCATTTAAAACTGATTCTGTCTGAGGTTCTCGTAGAGCTTTATGGTAGTGAGAAACCACATGGACAATGAAGAAAAAAACAAGTTCCTTAACTGCAGAGTATATCTGTTTATTTTTGTTTTGTTTTGTATAGAGTAGGGAATGGGAAAAACCCTTTTCAGGTTTCTTCATCTTTTAACCTGGGAGCACAGTAAATGGGAGGAAATATCTCTAAAGAGGAAATCTGTTGCCACCAGTTGTCACCAGAACTCCCCAAAGGAAGTTTTATGGTCTAGTGACATCTGTATGCTTTGCATTTCTGAGTTTCCTTCATGAAGACGAATAAAGGCATACATTTGTGGATGCATGACCATCACGACTACATAAGTTTGTTGAACTTTCCATTTCAAAATGTTGGGCAATAATATGGAGTTGTCCCCTAACTTGCAGCTACACCACTCTTCTGATGAAGCATTCCCTGAGATTCTGGAGTGTCTGTAGGAATTTGTGTTCCTTTAGGCATTTGTGAGGCCAGGTACTGATACTGGATGAGAAGACCTGGCTCACAATCGTGTGTTCCATGTCATCTCAAAGGCATTCAATGAGGTAGAAGGCAGGGGTAGAAGCCACTTGGCTTTCTTTCAACCAAGCTGGTCAAACTATGACTTTATTGAGCTGGATGTGACTTCTTCAAACTGGTTCCAACAAAGTGTTTCCAACAAAGGTTTGGAAGCCCCACAAAAATCAAAAACGTCTGTCGGGGATCGCCGCAGCGCTGGGGGCTCAGGCGCAGTGCACCGCCCTGTGCAGGGACGCGGGCACTGGGACCTGGCCGACCGCGGCAATCGCGTTCGTGCATGCGCAGTAGAGATCGCGCGCGCGCGCGTGGCACCAATGACAGCGTAGGGCGGGATATTTAAATGGCCCTGAGCTGTCATTCAGTGCCTTCTGGTCTTCCCTGTATTCCTAAAACCTGCGAACCTGTGCCTTGTAAGTTATTGACCAGGATTGTACCTGACCTTGCTATATTCTCCTGTCTGACCCTTGCTTTGCCTGACCTCTCTCCTGGATGCCCCCTATTGGATCTGACCTGTTGTTGCTGACCTGGCGTGTAACCCGACTATTCTCTGCCTGCTGCATTGTACCGCACTGTCCTCTTAGTTACCGACCCGGCCTGCCTGACTTTGCACTTGCTCAGCCATCCATCCATTCCATCCCTCTCAGCGGGGTCTTCAGACCTCCTCATATCAGGCTCTCCTCGTGGGAGCCCCCGGCGTATACCACTACCACTGACTGGTATACCCAGTAGCCACGACCTGGTCTCAGGGTGCTCCAAGTCCATCCCCACCATCAGGGGCCCTGGTGAACAAGTGCCCTGGGACTTAGACTCTGTGCTCTGGGGACGCCTATTCAGTGGAGCGCTGGTGGTACCGCCGGGTGGTCTCTTACAACGTCTTTGTTTCCAACAAAGTGTTTCCAACAAAGGTTGGAAGCCCCACAAAAATCAAAAACGTCTTTGCATTTTGACCCATTAACAGTACATTTCACTGGAAACACCTGAACTCAATTATTATGGGGTGTCCAAATACCTTTTGGCTTTATAGCGTCTATCTCCTTTGTTTTTACATTTTGTTCAGCACCGATAAACTAATGAATCCTTTTTCACTTAGCCATGAAGGTTCTGGAATAAAACTATAATTCATGCTTAGTGGCCCTTAGAGAACAATCTTGAAAAATAAAAGCAAATGAAGGAAGTGAGGAAATAAAAGATTAATGAACGCAATTAGAGAAACAACAGGTATAGCAAGTAGGGAGATACTACAAAATGAAACCTGTTGTGAAATAAATATAGAGGCCGAGCTCTTCCGTCTGAAAATTTGACTTGCTTGGCTGTCATGGTGGTCCTCTGAATAAGTAGACCTGGTCAGGACTCGAGGCATGACCTCATATTGGTCATCTTCCCTCTACCTGCTATGTCTCTTCTAGTAAAATAAACTGACCTTCTTGCTCGCAGTCTTCGTTAAAGTGTACACTGACTTGTGCATGCACGGTGCTTGTGTTCCGGGATGACTGAACTCCTGCGCATTTGTGGGAGTTACATCAGCCCAAACCCAGCCAATCAAGATGGCTGAAGACCAGCACCCAGAGGAAGCTGGGGAGAATGCTGGAGATGCTGGTGGCATAGAGGCACCTCGCGGCATTGGACTTTTGGATAAGAGGTAAGTATTGTGGACTTTAGTACCCCTTAATGGCCATCACCTGCACTCCTGTGCATGTGTGGGAATGATATCATCCTGTGCCAGCTAATCAAGAAGCCAAAGACCAGCAACCAGAAGAAGCTGGGGACAATGCTGGAGATGTTGGTGGCTGCGAGGCACCTATCAGTTGTTGGACTGTTGGAGAAGAGTTCAGTATTGTGGACTTTAGTTCCCCTTTAAGGGTCTAGCTCCTGCACATGTGCACATGTGTGGGATGTGCATCATCCCGAACCAGCCAATCAAGATGGCTGAAGACAAGCACCCAGAAGAAGCTATGGAGAATGCTGGAGATGCTGGCTGGCATTGAGGCACCTTGCGAGGATTGGACTGTTGGAGAAGAGGCGAGTATTGTGGACTCTAGTTCCCCTTTAAGGGTCAGCTCCTGCACTCCTGCACATGTGTGGGAGTTGCATCATCCCGCACCAGTCAATCAAGATGGCTGAAGACAAGCACCCAGAAGAAGCTGGGGGAGAATGCTGGAGATTCTGGTGGTGGCAAGGCACCTCCTGGGCTTTGAACTGTTGGAGAAGAGGCAATTATTGTGGATTTTAACTCCCCCTTAAGGTCCAGCTCCTGCACCCCTGCGAATGTATTGGAGTAGCATCATCCCATACCAGCCAATCAAGACAGTTGAAGACCAGTACATAGAAGAATCTTAGGAGAATGTGGAGATGGCTGGTGGTGGCAAGCACCTCCTGGGCTTTGAACTGTTGGAGAAGAGGCAATTATTGTGGATTTTAACTCCCCCTTAAGGTCCAGCTCCTGCACCCCTGCGCATGTATGGGAGTTGCATCATCCCGTACCAGCCAATCAATCAATCTGGGAAGAACTGGGCTGGTGGTGGCAAGGAACCTCCTGGGCTTTGAGCTGCCCATGTGTGGGAGTTGCATCATCTCGTAGAAGAATCTGGGAAGAATGCTGGAGATGCTGGTGGTGGCAAGGAACCTCCTGGACTTTGAACTCTTGGAGAAGAGGCAATTATTGTGGATTTTACCTCCCCCTTAAGGTCCGGCTCCTGCACCTCTGCGCATGTATGGGAGTTGCATCATCCCATACCAGCCAATCAAGACGGCTGAAGACCAGCACCTAGTAGAATCTTAGGAGAATGCTGGAGATGTTGGTGGTGGCAAGGCACCTCCTGGTCTTTGGGCAATTGGAAAAGAGGTAAGTATTGTGGACTTTAGTTCCCTTTTAAGGGCCAGCTCGTGCCGACGGTAAGAGCCTAAAGGAATACTCGGCTGCATTATACGGCTTTTCTTTTTTTATCTGCCTGTTGTTTTAGCTGTAATGCAATATCTTCTTTTTAATTAGACTTGAGCTCCTAATTAGGGTTGTTTACACTTAACGAGGGATGGCCGTTCCTTCGGAGCCGCGATTACTGACTTAGAAAGGGCTTAACCTCTCTGGTAACATTGGAACGCATACCGGTGATACTTGCGCAGATCTTTTACAGGCTGCAGTTGCCATGGCGATGGCTTATTAGC